AATTCATGAAACTGCAGGCTTATTGCCAGTTTAAAAAATCGAGAACAAAAACCGTGTTGTACTTTTGTAAACTTTTTAACGAAATTTAAAACAAAAAATTGCTGTAAAACAGCAAAATACGTCCTTTCAAAATGAACAGCAATTACTTCGACAGATTTTGTAGTCGCGCATAACGTCGAAAAACGTCCTTGACATAAACAAAATCAGCCGTTCCGCACGTTGTAACCAATAATTTATTGTTTCGTTCCCCGCAGGAACGAAACGGTACTGTATTTGGTTTCGAGCAATTATCACAGGAAAGTGACGTCAGAGATCAAAGTTATCCAATCCTTTGCCAGTATTCTTGCTCAAACGTCAATTACATTTAGAATCGTCCAATGAGATGACCGCTCCTAGCATAAGAAGTTTTTTGGAGGCGTGGCGTATAATCGGAAATCTTAGTTAATTATATATCAACCTATGAGAACATGCTAACTTAACCTGAAGTTCAGGCCCTAATTTTAAATAGGGCCTGACACAAAACCTGTCTAGACCGTGCAGTGCTTCCATTTTCAAGGAAATTTCCTTTTCTAAGGAAATTCTAGTGCCGAAAAGGAAAATTCAAGGAAGAGAAAAAATCTAAGGAAATCTAAGGATTTTTTCCGAACAACTTAAATATTCATCCAAGTGCATTAGTGCAGACGAAAGTTTCACTATTTCTTGACTTTTTGAGTGAATTATCAATTGTGTTTAATTAAAAATCTGTTTTTAACTTTTCCTCGTGTTTCCGAAAACTTTCGAAAGTTTTTGAGCGATGGGATTTAGTAACTTTTGGCGCCAAACGCTGTGAATAATTAATTATTTATATCAATGGGAAGGTATATGTTGTAAAAGCATAACAAATATTTAATTTTAAACAGTGTAATAGCCTGTGGTTTTTTAGCTAGCAATCATCTTTGTTAATTGTGCTATTTTCTGCCTTTAACATTGATTAAATCCTTTGTATCGCTACAAATGCACTGCAAACCGCCTAATGAAATTTCAAGGAATTTTCAAGGAAATTATGTATACAATCTAAGGAATTTAGGGAAATTTTGATGATAAAAATGAAAAATTTTGATTTTTAAAATGGAAGCACTGAGACCGTGGGACGCTCACATGTTATTTTTAGACACAGCATGCAATATGATTGACAAGTGTTATAGATTTCGTTACACAAAAAATTTATATTCTCATGAACATGTCCGCAGAGTGTGCATTTCGCTTTTTAATTAAACTTAAAAATTCAAGGTACTTTTATATAATTAAGAGTCAGTTTCTCTATTTAACCGAACAGCAAACAAAGATTCAATTAGTCAGTTCTGTGTACAGCTTGACTGCCAAGCTTTCTCAAGGTCTCAACTTGCTGGACGCGGATATATACCAGGGATATACTTTAACGGGCTAACAACAGCAACAATAAAATTCTCAATCGTACCACGAAGAAGGCGATGTAGCTCAGAAAACAACGCCGGTAGGACCTGATATTAAAAATAAGACTTTTGCCGGCGAAGCCAGTTGGCAGAACATCTTGGCTGTCAACAACAAACTTTCGAATAGATGACTAGTTTAGTTTGGCTGTTCTTTCAGCGTCGTGTGTCCAAAATTCGTCAAAGATTTTGATAAAGATCTTCAAAATACTATTTGTTTGATTTATTTTCTGCCATAAAGCATATTAAAAGAAAAGAAATTCGAAGAAATTGATAATGGATTTGTTACGTGCGTTTGACCTTTATATTATTATTGTCCCCTTGAGCCCTTGACCGAGCTATTTTTAAAACTGTTGTTTATGTGAACTTGCAACCAATCAAAATCTTAGAGCCTGAACTTCAGGTCAAAATCTACAGGCACGATGATTTATATTTGAACTATTCAAGCGCCAACAGCGGTATATATATATTTATTATATAGTTTTCTTTGTTTTTCTTCATTTTAAATACTACTACTGTATTTCTGGACCGCTCGGCCCCTCCAGGTATAATGAAAATTTATAGAACCCGCCCGCCTCACAAAATGAACCGATTTCATTGCTCGACATATATAAGTGATCTATGGTCACAACCGCTAATTATAGACGTCTGGTATATTGGAACGAAACATTATTTCTTTTTTAAAGAAATATTTTCTTGTTGGCGTTGTAATGCCATTGTATGCAATAAACTATTGGGTTGTAATGGGTCTACAATTAATCCAAACGTTAATCCTAATCCAAACCCTAATCCTAACCCTAACCTCTAACCCCTAGCCCCGCCTCCTAACCCCTAACCCCTAACCCCACATCCTAACGCCTAACGCCACACCCTAGCCCCTAACCCTAATGCCGGCCGGCTACCCCTCCGGGGAAATACCCTACCGCCTCCCCACCATCCACCAAGCTAAGCCAATTACATTTATAACTAATTATTGGTTACAACGTGCGGAACGGGTGACAAAATGGAGGACAACTTTGCACGTGCACTCCGCTATGTTTTCACATACCCGGGTATAATTAGCCGTGCGGAATTAGTACCCTCGCACGGCGTTTGCGCTGCCGGCTCGGGGATAACAAAGCCAGGAAACAGGGGAGTAGGAACCCGGGGGGTGGGGGGCAAGGGGGCCTTGGCCCCCAAGTTTTCAGAAGACACAAAAAGTGCCCTTTTTTCCGGTGGCAAAGTGCCCTTTGCTTTCATGAAAAATGTTGTTCAGATTGCATTTTTGACACACGGATGTTGCAAACTGCACATACAGTATGTGAGTCTTTGTGGTTACTTGAGTGTGGGGCAGTTAAACAATGAGAAATGACCAGCCTGTTTGACGCACACTCTTTAACTTTGGTTGCAAATCGGGCCCATTTCAGAACCAGAAATCGGGCTAGAACACGACAAATTCCAAAATTTGCACGGTGCTTGTTTGCAAAAACAACTGCAAACTGCTCTAATTCTTTCTGTTACTTTCATTTGGTCTCATTCGTGAGTCGGCCTCAACGGCCTTTGATTTATTATTGCATTTATTTTTCCTATCCTACCCCTCCCCCCTGTCGCCAACATTTCCGGGAAAATATTTTTAGGTGTCCTTTTCCTTTTCACACCAAAAGTACCCCTCGAAACCGGTGCCCCCCCCCCCAACTTTTTGATGCTTCCTACGCCCCTGCCAGCTAGGAAAACTTTTCCAGTGGAATTAATGTTCGCTATTAAACGCATACGTTAAGACTACAATTGTCTCGAACATTTTTATGTAAATTATTAATAAGTAATAGCATGGTTTCTCGTCAGTGAAATTTGGATAAACATGCACTCTTGAGTTTTTCAAAGACCTCAAATAGTACTCGTCCTTCGGACTCGTGCTATTTTGAGGTCTTTGAAAAACTCACTCGTGCATGTTATATCCAAATTGCACTCGAAACCATGCTATTACCTATACTAGTTGATATTGGTGAGGCAACTCAGTCTTATTGGTACTTTGCGCGTTGCAGCGTATATGGTTGCTTTTGGTGAGGCAATTCAGTATTCCTGATTCTTGTTTCTTGCATGTTGAAGAGTATGGTTGCTTTTGGTGAGGCCCATCTGTATTATTCTTACTTGTGTGTTAAGCCGTGCATGGTTTAATAGTTGCTTTTGGTGAAGCATGAATGCATTTACAGAATACAGGTTTCACGTTTTAATTTGGTGATCATGGCTGTGTGGTCGCGTGCTTTAGGTGAAGTAGTTTGCTTTTGATTAGGCAAGGCTATATTTGTGTTTGTTTTAATGAGTGAAGTGACGAGTAAGATAAGCCTTTAGTGAGGGAAGATTTAATTTTGTCATTAGATCGAAAAGCTCGCTTTGCGTGAAGCGAAGTGTAAGATATTCCTTTGGTGAGGCAAGATTTAATTTATAAACAAAACCTCACTTTGCATGGGTGCAGTGCAAGAAATGCTTTGGTGAGGCAAAATAACTCGCTTTGGGTATAAAGCAACGTGGAAATGTGCCTTGGGTGCCAGGCATGTAACATTTCATTTCTAACATAAGATAATTATGGTGCGTGTTAACTGACACGCTTTTGTTGATGTAATGTGCATGTTTCAAGATATTGCTTTAAGAGAATTAAGCCTTTTAGTTTCTCATAATTCTCCAAGAAAGGAGTATTTCTGAGTATTGGAGAGAGAGGGAAGATTCTCGCTTTTGAAGTCGGATATGGTGCTGTTTAATGAGCCGGTGTCCGCCGGGGCTGAAAATTATTTATCCTCAATCTTAATATTCCTTCAGTTAAAGGTATTGTGCGGGAGAAGCGAGCAGTGAGAATATATAACTATTCTCACTGCTCGCTTCCCTCACACAATACCTTTAACCATAGCCTATCGAAGGGAAGATGGCTGTGAAACTCATTAGAATAACAATATAATCATTATCTATGTTAGTCAACGTTTATTCATAAATCTGGTCGTTTCACCGTCACGTGTGTATTGTATTTTTACCAAATCGACCAATAGAAATTTCCAGTCTCCCTATTGTTCGAGTCACGGATAGGTGACTTTCCTAAAACATTGTTATTGGTTAGTTGGGCAAGAATACAATACACACGTGACGATGAAGGACCAGATTTATGAATAAACGTTGACCAACATACTAGTAATGAGTTATATTGTTATTCTAATGATTTCACAGCCATCTTCCCTTCGATAGGGCGGATAGGCTATGCTTTAACCAAAGCTTTAACTGAAGGCATATTAAGATTGGGGATAAATAATTTTCAGCCAAAGGTAAAGTGCGGCGAAGCTAGCTCCGGAAGTGTCGCAGCCGAGGGGAGGTGGAAGTGTGGCAAATGCTCAAAAATACCGATTTTGTGCTACTTTTATACTGTCTGACAATCACGTGGTTTATATGTATATGGTTGACCAAGTAATCATCTCATGTATAAATATTCAAATTATATGGTATTGTGAGAGAAAACTCCCAGTGAGAATTATAACTGCGTGTTTGCTACAAATAAGTACTATAGTTTGTTCCAGTGTCAAATTCATATTAGCTACAAAATGCAATCTTAATTACGTTATTTTTATACATATACATAACTTTATAATTAACTAAAGACACTGATAAATTTGAACATGTCTGGCAATGCGCCAATGAAATATAATAATACACATACCTTATATATAGCTTTAAATCCTCTATTAAGCCCCGCCTCTCTAATAAATCTCTTCTGATAAGCCCGCTTTTAGAGGAGAGATTAAACCTCTCTTCAATATGCACCCCAGCTGCTATAGCAAAGAATTAAATCCATCAGTTTACTGATTAGATTTATTTGCATGCAGTTTTGCATCGAAATGTGTATTACTTTACTACGTTTCTTATTCACTGCATTTCTGCCAATGATAAGTCCCTTCTCCGCTATTAACTGTCCGGCTTCTCCCCCTCTCTAATAAGCCCTTCTCAACCGTGCCTGAAATAAATAGCCCATCGCAGGGTGGGGATTAATAGAGGATTTGCTATGCGCTTATAAGGTACGAACGATTAATGCACGTACAGTGCACCATTTGTGCACACCAAAGCCACATTACCCTTTGGATGACAGGTAAGATTTGGCTTGTTAAACCCTAGATGTTTAAAGTTCAAGTCACACGATTTTCGTAATTCACCAGTTTCTGAGCAAAACTGTAGATATCTGCACATGCGCATGCCGCCGATCATTTTAAGAGCCAAACATATGAAATTATTTGCCCGATAGTCGTATCTTACAGTACAAGAGCTCGGAGATCCCGAATCAACAGGCAGTTTTAGTTTAACCTCTCGTTCTAAACGTCCGTCGTCTGAGTAAAGATAAAGAACAATAGATTTAGATTTAGTGTCGTGTTTTCTTACTGTAACAAGTACAATTTCGTTAGAATTGGAACTAAACATGTCCTTTACAACTCGTTTGTCAGAAATGCGTACAGGAAAAGTATTCTTCTGTCCGTTCCTGTCAAATATGTAAAGGACGGTTTTGTCTAATGTATACACATTCTGTTCAAATTCACAACAGAAAACAAGTTTTTTATCTTTGGTTATTCCCAAACACCGATATTCCTTCCCCTTTGAGAATTCTATGGGGTTATGGTGAATAACTTTTCCATTTGAATCACAAATAAATAGGTCATAACGACTCTCTTGACCATAATGTGTCAGCAAGCACACTGTGTCGTCTTCATCGACAGCTAAGTAGTTGCATTTGATATCTTCTCCTTCCCCTTTCTTCAAGATCTGCAACTCGCATGTTTCCTTCTCGAGTTTTTTAAGGCAACATTTAGTAGGGTAAGGACAAAGAATTATATCTTCTTTGCCGTTTACTGCAGAAAGACCTCTATAAGGCAGCAGGCTACGAACTTTAATGCACCACGGCGGTATTATTCTTGTAAGTTCATGCATCATGTTCATATTACTGATTTCATAATAAAATGGATGGTAGGCATTTGCAGCAAATTCTATCAATGGCCAATCGAAAAGATTTAATGTTCTTCCTTTGATTGTAAATGCGGTGATAAAATCAAGCAGAGACAAATTGGTGGTAATGACGGATTCTACGATTGCTTCACGTCTTTCTCTACTAAAAA